TGTAGGAGAGAACTAAAAAAAAAGGTCGCTAGTTTGCAGTCACATTGAGACCCGGGTACCGAGTGGCACACTTTCCTGAGTACACGATACCACGGACCGCTTTCAGGGAACTTTTTATACACTTGTTATTTTAATTAATACCACAATATCTCGCAAAACTGGGCATCAATGACTATCTCCTGAATTTGAAGTTAATTGTTCGTCTAGTTTTATTATCCCCAAATATATACAAAGTTTGGTAATCACAAGTAATACCATATTCCCAAGAAATATATCGTCCATCATCTAAACTAGTGCTGTATATTATTAGTAATGTGAAGCTTTCGAAATTATCGCTTACATTTGCTTGATACGAGTGTTCGAAACGATTAGACATGTTAGACTTGTTGTTCGTGCGGTCATTTTCAAGCAAATATTGAAAATAAAAGCAATTTTGTCAAGATACGTGTCATCTTGGCCGATATCTTTGAAAACGGGAACCGCTTTCAACCTAATTACATACATGGGACGGTGGATATGAGCTATGGTAATTGAGAATGTGACATGGAACACAATAACTCACAGCGTGTTTCTTATTTATGTTTTGCCGTCAAACATATTCAGAATGAAAACGAATAAATGACACGTTTCATTCCCTCAGTAATGCATTTAATAAGATGGCATATGTGGCAATTGCGTGTTCCTGTTTACAATTTGGATATCTGTTCTACTTAGCGCATACATCGTCCCGTCTAAATGAGGTAAAAAAGATGCAGAACGATCTGTTCCCTGCAACGGTGTTGTCTGTATGTAAAATCAGAACAGCCGTTGTACTGGGCCAAACTCTGCTTAAACATAAGTATGTAAGTACGATGAATGAGGAAAATAGTTGACGCATTAATAACGCTAACGAAAACAGTGTCATCCATCTGAGCCACTGCCGCGTGTAGCGAAGACATTGACTTCTTTTGTGTACAAATCTGCGTATAGGTCGACTGTTATCAACGGGTGGGGCAAATAGACCAGAATGACGACTCAATTACACTCAACAATGACGACTTTTTCCACAAAACAATGCAGCTCATCTTCTGCAACTACAAGGTCACTGAGATTAGACACATTAGATAAGAAATCAAGGTGCTTTTGATTGGCGCACTTCCTACACGCGGCTCTGCACACCTCGCAAGTTGCAGGATCGCCATAGTAACAAAGTTAAAACTAGAAGTCGAAACTTTTATTAGATTTAGTGTACCTGGATTGCGTTTCTCGATATCACTGCAACTTTTATTGGTTCAACTGTTTTACTGAACGCGATGAAGCAATATCCGAGAATCATACGCCAACCACATGTTGGACTAACACTAATTATTCTAACTTGAGAAAGTTTCACATCATCATATCTGAGTGCTTCCAAGGTAACTAAAATCCCAGCGGGATAAATTATAATGGGAAAAGGTTGTGATCCCTTTTGTCCCGAGTTTAACGACACCTGATGGCAACATGAGTACGTAAGTCCAAATGTCTGTTTACAATGTGGCATGATTCTCGTAAGGGATTTTATTTTATTAGGTCATAGTTCCTCTATCACTGAGGTTTAAGTTGAAATGTCTCGGTTAAAGGTGACAACACTCCGGTTGACGTCATGCTGTGAGAAATACTACTGCACGGACTGTGATAAGGACGATATTAGAGTGCAGTGGAAAGTGTATATAAGAGCATAAGAGCTTCAATTTCACGATCATTCCAACTTCAATAGGGCTTACTAAAATGAATCATCAAGGTGAACTTAGAGGGTGGGGTTAACTGACACGGTGTTGAACAGAGCCAATCAAAGCCCGGTTTAGAGATGTCAAGATCATGTGTAGCATACCCCTCGAAGCAAAATTCATGGGCACGCAAAACACGCGGAGATGTGATAATCCAGGAGAGTTTCACTGTTTCAAAATAAAGAACAGTGATTCTATCTGATGCGCGTAAGCGAGGTCAGTGTGGTCATCTCTGATAACTCCGAATAACTACAAAAAATATGTCTGGATATTTGGATGCGTTTGATTGTACGTATTTTAGTGGAAATGCAAACGGATTAAGGAGTTAGAGATAATGAGCGAAGTCAAATCAGAGCGGAATCCATCAACAAGTGCGATAGGAACCCATTGTGAGTTTAATTGGCTCTCGGCATGGGCTCGTCTTGAATACTACTCTCAATATGATTACCGAATTCAATTTGACTTCGTCATCACCCCAGTGTTCATTCAATACAATTTAGCAAATTCCTGACGCTCTTGTTTGATCTGACTGTGTCACCGTAAAGTGATTCGATTTGCAAGTCTCATAGGCAGTTTTCGTCTGATTTTCATTATTTCACCATTATACGTGGATATTGTCACTGATATCCGCGATCGTCACTGATAACGATGCTGATGAGGTCAGCGCTTTGAATAAATTACCCATTATTGTCAATTTATTAAAAAAAATGAACAGAATTGGATGACTGGTGATTACTGGCCAATCATTGGTCTTCTATTTGGACAAGCACTGACAATCGTGCGATGTTATGCAAATTAGCCAACGCGCGCTGCTTTCTGCCAATATCGGATCCATTTCACTTGATGTGTTGTTCCTCTCACCTGTATTGCTTCAATATCCGTTAAACGTCAGTCTCGTCTCGTTTCCAATAATCCGATTTATTTCCACTCTTCAATTCACTTAATCACTGAAAGTCACTGTCCATTGAAACTAAACGGTCATATTCAATTATATCCAACTTACTGTCGTTTCCCTTCTACCTTGCAGTGTTGATTTTAGAATTAATGTCAGGTGACCAAAATATTCATGCATAAACGCGATTCGAGGTTTATATGTGACATTTGTAACTGCTTTAATATTTGTAACGTGAGGGACGGAGTTCTTTGATGACTTTGTACATCGAAGGGGCACTTTAATTTACTGGCATCACCTGACGCGCGAATGTTCAATTTAGTTCCTCCGGAAACGCCAATTCCCCTGGAACCAGACCCTATTATGTGTGATTATTGGTGTATTATATTAAGCGAAATATTTGCTTCACTGTATAGAGTAATTTTAGTTTTTTGTGATCTCTTATTTTATGTCTGCATGTGTGTAATGTCACGCGACATACGTATTCTCGGGCATGTCATAGCTGCAGTTCACGAAAAGGCAGTCAAGGTGACGAGGAAAGATATTTAAATGACCCTTTTTGTTAATTCGGTCAAAAGAAGACGAACTTCTCGAAATACGTTTCGCTAACGAGAAACCTACACTCACATTCTTAGAAATCCCTAATATAACAATCTACAATTGACAACGCGGCAAAGTTTCCACCACGCACAAACACACATAGAAATATAATTACAACAATTATTAAATTTTAATTAATTTAATTAATACGAAGTGTTACCCTATAAAGGGATAAAGTAATTTTGTTTTATTCAGGGCATTTCAAAGCTTCTTATCTGTATTCATAGGTATATTTTTGAATGTCTCAAAGAAACTACACATAACTTCTCGGACGTCACGGTCTCGCATGTCTCCGCTGCCGCTCGGCTTGGAACACTGGTTATCGGAGAGGGCGCTACTTGTGACACAAAAAATACGAACGTTCGTTTCTCGCGTTTGCGTGTATCGGAAAAAGAGCGCCCTCAATGTTCTTGTGCATATGTTGCACCCCTGCCTAACGGAGAAAAATGGCATCAGTATATTGTCATACTCTCATCTCCGTCAATTAAAATAACGCATATAGACTTCGTCTGAGTTGTTATGTGTATTTAGTTATTAAACTTTACACTTGACGGTGCCCGTCACCTCCACCCAATGGTAACCACACGGCCACGGTGTCTATCGGGATTGATTCCATCAGAACCAGTGTTGAGGTGCCACACTGCTACGGTGTCTATCACGTCTACGTTCGCCAGTTGTACCACAATTCCGGGGTGCCTACCACGTCCACTCATTGGTACCACACTGCCACGGTGTCCATCGCTGTCACCCAGGGGCACGGCACTGTCACGGGGAACTTAATAACAAATGCCAACTGGGAACAAGTGAGTTTAAACGTAGTTTGCATGAAAAAAAACAAATGCTACACATTTCGTAAATCAAAGCGCACTTGACAAGTTGTACGCATCCTGTAGAAAGAGCATAATTGATGACGTCATATCATATGATCGCGGGCATCTTTCATTATACAATGCCGATTTCCATTACCCTGACAACAGGAAAGAGGCACTAGGAATGTGTCTATTGTTGACGAAAACTGCTTGTCGATTCAGCCAGGCTTCCAACGTCAAACCAATCATACAACCAACCAGCCCTCACAATATTTTTGACTGACGTGCCTCATTCATGCATTGTTTTGTTCTATGTATGAACCATTTCTGATTTGCCAAAGAACGGTCACTTTTAATCATTTTCTCCGAGACGCATCATCCTTGAACATTCAACCTCTAAGCATCGCCCGAGTGGTTTATCACTGGCGCACTCGCACTCAGCTAGGTTTCCACGTGCGACTGTTTTATCGTTGACGTTTTCTCTGCCTAGCGGATTCCAAATAATTACTAACCTACCGGCAACAGCTCGCCCTTTATTCGCAAGGATTCAATAACTTTTTTTCCCGGCGACTTTAAACCGTTTGCCGGCGAGACGAGTTTTGTGTTATTATGCAAGCACCTAAGTAGGATTCGATGACACGGGCCGATCCAGTGTACACATAGCAGTGACGAAAAGGGTACTATTCATTTGGCAGGCTGCATTCAGAATGGCTCGTACGTACAATGAAGTGTCATACGTTTGCTCAATACAACTAGCAGGCTAATACATTGATTGCTCGTCGTTCTGTTTAAACGCGTCCGTGATTGTACGCACTCATCAAGGACTGTATATACACTTACTTACTAACAAGACGTAGCGGTGTGTGAAACGCCGTCGTGTCACCGATAGAGCACAACGGTGGGAAATAATCCATGTCACCGCCAGTAAACGTACTTTCTCTTTTGTCATGGCAGAGACGTGGATCGAGCAATGCCTGAGCGAGGCGGAGGTGAAAGACACACAACTGGACGAGAAGGAAAACTGTGAATACGAAGATTTGGATCGCCCTAAACCCGGTAAGTCCAACGAGTTATACTCGATATAAATTGTACACAACTGGAACGTTTAAGTCAACAGATGCCATTGTTTGAGAGGGATTTTATTTTGCCGCTTTTCTTGTCTCTAGTAAAAAAAAACAAGCTAAGTAGAGGTATTGTGCTGGGTAAACCATCGTGAATTCTAACCGTGCACAGTCAAGTAACCATGCAACCAAACTATTGATGCCTATACCGTTAAATTAATGTAATATTATTAATCACAGCAAAGCATGCTGTCTCTTATATTGACAATGCAGTTAACACGCTGTCCGTTTTTCAGTGACATGTCCTAAATGTTTTATATATATGTTGCACTTGTTTTTATTATTATTATTATTGTTGTTGTTGTTGTTGTTGGTGGTGGTGGTGGTGTTGCCATTCGTATCTTTTACCTATATCACATACATTAAATCCAACATGATTATGATATTGATAAATGGTCTTAGAGTTCAACTGTGTGAACAGACTGACGTTGCTAATCTTGTCCGGTGGATTCAATATGTGAAAACAAAACAGATAAAAGTGCGTTTCTTCCATTCAGCAATGGACAACGACATTAAAGTTAGATTTGTATGAATAATGTTTAGTTATGAATAGTACCTTTCATACGTATGAATTGCACTATAGAGAGGCGAACCCACTACATTTAGCCAACTAGAACCACACATCTAACGGAATCTAGCGTAGTACCGTTATGTCCTTTCACCTCTTAGCCTCCCCAGGCTCATGGCAACTTTCACGTAAATACTTCAACTTTAAGATCACGTTGACATCGGTTTGAATTTACAACTGCCGCAGCCTTGGTAGCCGTACGACCTGCGTTAGTAAGTTTCACTTACAATACAAATTTTGAGGAAAATAAATGTTGGCAATAGCCTTCGGAATTGACGAAGCAATAAAACGCACTGAATCACATCCTCAGCTTTATTTGTTTGAGTTTTTTGGCGTAAGGCCAGTAGTACATTTGCCAACTCCTAAAAAAGCTAAAACGTTGAATGGGCCCATGACGTATTGCGCTTGCTTCAAATCAATGAACACGGAGTTTAAGTACGTAAATATTTTGTCTTATGTCGGATCACTAAATAACCAGCACCGATAGCTCGCAACCCTCTACCCCGTGTACACATACAGGGTGACTGTCTATTAATACCCACTTCGAACTGACATGGTTATTTGAAAGTAGGGTCAATTATATAAGCGATTGGTGAGTAAGGGCACTTCACAACTAGATAATTCCACGACAGTGACCTGCTTTTACCATCCCCACTAAACACAGACTGATTATAACAACAACTATCCAACATTCTGTATAATTAGCATACACTAAATGGGGGATATGCGAATCCGAAGTACCACGTGAGGCTGATTGGCGCCACTGTAATTTCTGGAGTTTTATCCACATTATTCGGTAAATGATCGTAATACCGACTCAAAACAATATGGGGGATCCGCTGAGATTTTATTTTATTTTGTTTTATTTTATTTGTTATAAAAGCCTATAAAAGTATATGTTTTGGAGGCACCGCGTGGTGGTCAGCGTGTAAGTAGTCGTCGAATCCTTGGTGATTAGAACACAAAACGGTTTTTAATGAGTAGCTAATAGTATAGCATAGATGTGTTCGACTCCCAAGCGGCCACCATAGTACAATTAGACCACGCACCTAATTAAGAAAACTCACCCAGGGTTCAAAGAAAGTAAAATCGACGTAATTATCAACACCTCCGCCATGGAAACATAACAATTGGTCAGAATTATCATCCGTTTTACACAGCATTCTTTTTCCGTCGGTCTTGAAACGTGATTTATGTATTCACAGGTCCCAGTATACCGATTGCGTTCGTTTGGTCCCAAATGACGCACGTTTACCATAAATTTCACTTAATGTGAATACGTATAGCATATGGTTGTGATATGAACATAAGAAATTAACAATAGGTGACGTAGAGAAAATATAACAGATATGATACAGGTCGAATGTAACACGCGCGCATCATCGATCACTTTTCTCTCCTCCCAGTATCCATTTTGGGGAACACTATTATAGGGTTAGGGATGGATGGGCGAAGGTAAACTTACATACACATGCACTCATTGCATCTGCATATACATAATGTGAACACCATGACAATAACTCAAAATTTATTAGATGTTGAACCGTGGTATCTGTGAATTCATTATACCAACCAGAATATAGAATTTGCGAGATCTGGGTTTGTAGTTTACAACAACAGTATCTATGCTGCATGGAAACAACAACAACAACAACAACAACAACAACAACAACAACAACAACAACTTTATTGCCGCCTTGTAAAAAGAATGACATAGAATAAAACAGCAAAAAGTCTGTAAGACAAATCCCAATACGAACATTAAATGCATCTCACGATTCCTGATTCGTGACAAAACAATATAATGGTCATGGATCATCTTGGTCTATTCTTGTCTACAAGTGACCACCAATTGGCCTGGAGGCTTTCCACCGCTATACCAACACTTAAACTGTCAATGGTAATACTCGTTAAGTTATGCGGCGACTTCTATGCAATCTCCACAACCGTGACTGAATCACGTATGTCCTCCTAACGCAGTTCACATAACACATCTTGTATTCTCGAACTTGTTTTGTTGGCCTTGTGGTAACGTAATTATTATTTTTGTTTTTTTACGATTTGTAGCTTCGAAACAAGCTAGCGAGCCATAGCTCCCGGATATAGTCTCATAATCTCATTTAATCATATCGGTCTATTGTGTCCTTTCTTGTTTATTCTAGGCGCTCGAAAAGCCAGCAAACCCCACTCCACTCCGTTGACTTTGCAATGGTAAGTAAGCACACGTTCCGTAAATACATATACTACTCAACATGGCCGTTACAAAAAAAATCTTTTCACCTTCCATGGAGCTCAGAAATACGTTAAAACAAGACTATGGACGGAGTAAAGCTGGGGCTTACGGTATTGACGTACCAAACCTTTTGAGATTTGCCCCCCGGTTATGTGTACAAATCTTTTTGGTCGATGTACGCTTCACATATACACACCTATTTCTAAGCACTGTGTTCGCTCAGACTGTCATTGTTTGTCTCCATTTCAAACACACATACTATATAATACGGTTATATGTGTTCGTGTCAAGGGCATTCCACCGACTGGGCAGGCGTGTTTAATGAATACTTGTTTTTTTTTTCTCACCAACACCGTAAATATCGAAGTAGCTCGTATACGAAAGGCATTATGGATTTAAAAGAAACTGAAAAATACGGTCTCCGATTGCTCAAGCGCATTGGCCACAAACTCATCGACCGTACCCATCTATGATTTCAAATCACCAGAATTGTAATATGATTTTCTAATTCTTCCTTAGTTTAATAATAATAATAAAAAACTGTCTACAGTTGTTTTCTGTTAAAAGTAAAAAAGGCCAGGGTTGGTACCAACAACCTGTTGACGGAACGAGCTTATTTAGTTTCATGGACCAATTACCCTGGCACATTACCGTCTTCGACGATTTCAATTATCTAGGATATGGCATACTGTATTCAATATTTGCACATGGAATAAATATTAAATCAGTGAACGTATTTTGTAATGCAAAACCAACAGAGCACGACGGTCATCAGTGGCTCCTCACGTTTCACTCGAGTCCCCCCCCCCTCTTTACGTCGATGATCCACTTCATATTTGACAGACACCCTCATTGTAATAGACACCCATCTCGGTTTTCGGTGTGGTATTTTCTGGGCAATGTACAATACCGCTATCCACCTATACGCTAATTAGAAATCTGTACACGCATGCGAAATTCCGTTATAAAGAATGGGACGTTTGTGGTGGTCAAAAGTTCAGGTTGTCGATGTCTTCCGATGCCAATATAGATGGGTTCTAATAACGAAATTGGTCACATTTCCACGAAAAATATCCAAACCTAAGGTCTAATTTATAAATAATAAAGTTCATAAACAATCACTGAGTACGTCATCGTCATAATCGCAATTACATTATTTATAGCGCATGCCGGCGGCGGCCATCCAGAAAAACAATCACGGCTACCAGAGTGGAGCAAGCCAATCACATCCAAGGTTATAAACATGTTCGCGACTGTTTTTTAAAGAATAGTTCTTTTTTTCATTACCGGTGTATCACGTCTTAACAATTGCATCTTATCTGTTCAATGCATCTCACCAATGAGCGTATTATGTAACGCTTAATGCAGTCAAATTAGTTTTACAGCGACAACAAGAGGCGAGCCCGGCGAGAGTTTGAAATTGAAATTTGAACGGTTAGTACAGAACAAGATAACGGCGACTGGACGATCGCACTCTGTTGGACACTTCAACGCTGAAGAAACCGATTTACTCAACTTCCCTTTAAAAAAATCACTCTAGAATTCAATTCTAATATTAGTTCCGCATGGGCGGTGACGTGAAGCGGACAATAAAATACTGTTTACGGCCCCATTTATACGACACGAACTCACCAAACATTTCCTTTTCTCTGAAATTGTATACAACGAGCATAAAGTTTCTCACTGTTAATCGCCGTGAATACCTATTTCTCTATTGGCTGACAACGTTAAAAATAACGCCTGGCGTTGTCAGGCACAAAGACATGCAGTGTCCGTTAGTTTTAGTTGGCAAGGTTTCGAACCTTCATCATCCTTACTACATGCCACATACAATGATGATATACGCCGGGCGTGGGTTCCTTGTTTTGACGGTAAAAGTTGCGACCAAAATTAAAAAATTCGTGACGTGGGAAGAGCTTGAGAAATGGGAAATGTTTTGTTGTTGTTTTGTTTATTAACTTCTCGTTTTTATTGTAAGTGTGCGAATTATCCGGATCTTGACTAACTTTGGTTACCTCAGAGTCACATCTTTCAAGTGTGGTATATCATAGAAGTCCAAGCCATACATCAATGAGAACGGATATCGCATGCCAAGTCGTAGAACTGTTGCACAACGTCACAGCGCCGAAGACTGACAAACGCGCCCTGAAATTAATCACCCTTCGGCGCTACAATACCCATGTCGTATTTTATCTACATCGAAATGACATTAAATAGAGGCCTACTGAATTCGTCCTTTATGAATTTAATGAAAATTCTTTGACAGAAATCAGCGGATAATATGCGAATGCTAGTTCAGATCGTAACTTGATTGCCATTACATTATACCCCGTCTCATCATTTCATTAGCCGCAATTTTTTACTTATAAGAAAATGATGAAAAACTGCTTATCTCACCTGAGAATGAGATTAAAGACGATTATAACCCGAAGGGAACCATTATTCGCTACACGGATCATAGCTCTCGTATCATTTTCTCCACTCCTTTGCTCTCTATTCATTCAGACTACCACCTGGGCACTACTTTAAAACCGGTGCTCAACTCGTGTACGTCACGTTGCCAAAATATAGCGTTTCATGTTTGGAACTTATAGTCACTTCCGGGTGTCACTCGTAGTTAATTTTATAATAGAAACCTCTCGTTTCAGTTTGAATTTTGAAAGTTATAAATATTTATAAAAATGAAGCGCATGGGTTTGTATGGTTTATAGTACAAGTGAAATAAAATGAAACGACTCCAAATGACGAAATAGTGGAATCCCACAATACAGTTCGGTAGCTTGAGAGAATGACCTTTGCACTCTGGTGGTAATAAAAAGGCAGACTTGCTGCCGGACAGATGAGCGATACCATTTTTTTTTGTAAATTTCTATAGCTTCTGCGATGATTTTTCTAATTGTTTTATGCTACAATTATACTTTCAACGAACGCGAGTAGTTAGATGGTTCGTGGAGGTAAAAAAAAAAGAATTTAACTCCATGGATGGTTTTAAAACGACTGCCACTTTATGACTGGCAGTGTTTTGATTCACCCGGGGTTTTTAAAACATCGCATCGGTGTTCTGCTTGCCAGCTGCTTGATCGTTCTTTTTTTGTTCTACTTCGTAGGTTGGAAGAAAACTACGAGATCGCCGAAGGTGTATGCATACCACGGAGTGCCTTGTATATGCACTACCTGGATTATTGTGAAAAACACGACACTCAACCCGTGAACGCCGCAAGTTTTGGAAAGGTAAAGTTCACATAATACTAGTAGCTCAAATTGCGCCTTCTTTGCTCGCATCGTTCTGTATAAGACGCCACCTTTTCATACTAGTAAGGAAGCACTTGCATTTTATAATCCTTAAATTGGTATTTAATTTAGTTACAGATAATGTGATAACATCTCTCTATTTCCTTCCCATACTGCATTGCACTAATGCGCAGTATTGTAAAATTTAAATCTGACTTGACAGAGTCTGATGATGAAAGTGAAAGTTTATAAATAATCATCACCATGGTTACCAGATACTGCTCTTCATCATGCTACTTTACGTATGATAATGATGTAAGTTTTGAAACAAAGCACACAGAAGCAGTTCTATAAGCCGCTAACAGCTTTAATAATTCCCTCCTTCCCTCCGATTCATGCTAACTTATACCATTAATAAAATATTGGGGGCGAGTGTTTTCCAAAATATCTTTAGTATCGTTTTTTTCTCTATTTATTCCAGTGGAATATATTCTGTAATTGCTCCCAAGGCCAAACAAAACAAAAAATGATATCAAAAATATCAAAGAAACTTGATTAAGATCATATGGGAGATAAAATCGTTTTTAGGTCTTTTTTTAAATTAGTCAACTTTTGTTTGTTCACATTAGTGCAACAGAAAAGCTATTCCTATGAGGTTGGTTGTACTCTTTGAGATAAAATTTTAATTTAAAAGAGGCTGTACTTCAGTAGTCATTGTTTGAGAGTTTCATACCTAACGACTTTTGCCTAGTAAGCTCATTTTCTGGTCTGCCCCCTACATCACACACAATGTTGAATTTTTTGTAGGGAAAAAATCATTTTTTGTTATGTTTCTTGCAATTATATTATACGTCTGAGATTAGCAGGCTTCCTCCAATGGAACAAATGAAAATAGCAGGGTGGCGCAACCTCTACTTTTGGTTAATTGGCATCCCTGGAGACAGAGATAACCCCCCTCCTAGTACCTGCTTGTTCCCCCTTAATAGAGACACAAGACACATATAATTATGTTTTTTCCTAATGATCTCCTGCTGTTTATAAACGAACATGCTAAAAATCACTAAAAAAAAGACAACAAGGAAATGTTATAAATGTTATCACATTTCTAATGAGGCATGTAGAAATCGTGAAAACTGAAGTTGCTACCTCAAATGAGATTTACTAAATTTTACTTTGAAGTCTTCAAATGAAAATACTTTTATCTGTCACACATTATTTGTGACTGGAAATGTACATTCTAGTTGCATGACCTGATAAAATAAATATTATTGAAATCAGTAAAAAAGGAATGAAATAAGAGTGAGAAAACAAACATAATCTCAAAAGTCAAGTCAAAAGTAAAATTTTTCTGCCAGTACAAAACAAAAATATTCATAATATGTGAATTCTCAGATAATTGCTACAAGTGCTACAGTAATTAGCTGTGGTTATCATCCTCCTCATCACAATAACATACCACATTTGAAAGTTAATGTAACAGTTTTTCATAAAATTTATAAATATGCCAATTCAAGTTGTTCATATCAAAACCTCTGTGATACAAAACTAGATACTGGCGACAATAGTTGATAGCGTATCTATTCAGAAAGCTTAACGACATCGTTTATTGTAACTGAGATGTACCCACAGGCTATTCTATTGTTCGCGTATAACTCCATTGTTATGAAACATTGATTGGTACACATTAATCATGCATATACTCGCTAATGATAGGGGGAGGGAGGTTGAGACGGTGAGATGTACGTGCCCCTTAGCGATTTCCAAAGTGATAGAAGTGCAGCCTTTATCTCAATATTTCTTTTATGGACAATGTAATCATATGAAGTATTATTTTGATAAAAAAAAGTTGCTTTTTTTCATTTTTTCAATAATAATATAGCACTGAGTTTATATATTTTTTTATCACACACATATTCAAATTTGATGGTCTGCTCTGTCTGAGTCTCTGTTTCTTGTCACCTGACTTTTACTGCATAAATTGCATAAAATATGTGCAGGTTTACCGCTGCGTCTTTCATTTTTATTTCTATTTAAAAGCAATAAAAATCTTACTTTTGAGTGTTAAAAATTTAAAGCAACTTGGTCAATTCTCTAGAGATTCTGAAAAGCGTTGACGTTCTCGGCTCCCGGGGTCAGTTATAATACCCACTCATCAGCTGCCTATTCACTGCGTTGCATGTATTACAAGCAGAGCTAACTGTTATAACATTCATATCAGATTTCCTGAACACCATTCCTTGTGGTAGGTATCCTAAGAAACCATCTTTTAACATAGCAGTTGACAACCTACTGGCCTACTGGACTACTTTTGAGAGTTTACAACCATCAGGGTATTGATTTAATTTGTAAAGGTTTCCAAGTACCCAGCCTCAAAGCAATGATAAAATCATTTGTTCTTTACTTGTCCACTTCCTTCATATTTTCTATCCACTCATGCCTGCTAAGCTGTTTCCTAGCAACCCATCGTCATGCCAACTCCAGGCATTTTCCCCCAATGCTGGGTGCATCTTTGATGTATTGTCTGTGAATACTACATACCTGATAGATGTTTCATGTCAACGGGGTGGTTCTTTGCAATCTTGGTTTGGAAGTTCTGTGGTTTGTATTATATCTTGACCTTCATGACCATTAAACTGCATTAAACATGATATATTGTATTGGAGCCGAATACTACAATCAGAAGCCTCCCCTGCTGTTTGTACAACACACACTGCTTGCTTCACATTGTACTGAGCTGTGAGCACTCTAACTAGTGAACTGCTCACTGTGCCAGTACATCTGATTTGTGTATGGGATATTTCACGCTGTCACTGCCAAATTATGTAATAATAATCTTTATTGCGTTCATATCCTTATTCTGATTTGGAATGAAATGTCATACAGATGTAAAATACACAAAAAAAGATTTCACCACAAGTTCCCTCTTTTCATCACAAAATAGTCCTGTTTATAGTCTGCACTTTCCTTCAAAAGATTGGGACAAAAAAGGAACAATTATTTTTTAGTAAAAACTTAAAATTTACACAAATTTTGTTAGTTGGCCCCAAAATTAGGGTTAATTTTCAGAAATATTGACGAATATAAAAAAAAAAGTGCAGACAAATTTGGGCAATAAAGTCTGGTGGTGAAAAGGTATGTATGGAATTTATTTTCACTGATTTTTGATGAGTTGAATGCGAAATATAGGAAAAAAAGTATATTCGCTGGATTTTATTTTCACGGAATCATCCTTTCAGCGAAAATAGCGAAAATAAATTCCAAGCGAATAAATAAAGTATTCTACAGTATGCCTCACTTTCTGTTTACAAACAAATTATTTTTTTTATTTTCTAAACTATTCAAATAAAGATTGGAATATTTAAATTTTTACTCACAGAATGTTATTTCACACCTCCCTCTTGTAAGATATTTAGTTTTGTGCAATTGACTGTATGTGCATTTCAGAACAATTTTATGAAGGATTTAAACAAGAATACATGCATGTGTTCGCTTGAGATCTTTTTTGACAATGATGCAAATAGAACTGATTCCATTTGAGCAATCGTACAAAAAGTTGATTCGCATTTATGTTTTGACCTCATTTGTGCTGTGTTTCGTTTACTTTTTAAAGGGTGGTTTGTCATATAATTTCCCTTGGGTTGCTGTAAGATTCCTGTAGTACGTTTCATAGCCATTGGGGTGTTGGTGCTTAGTAGAGTATTATACAAGCAAACAGTGTATTTGTATAATAGTGTTTGTGTCTCTGTCACTCCGATGTCCTGTAACCATGACATATCTAACACCGCCCAATGGTATTTATTTATTTCCATTGTTACTGAGTTGAAGAACAAAGCGATCAGACGTGGCTTTATCCGTCTCTTGAAAACAGCTCATAGACTATGAATAGAGATGTGCAGAGAAAGAACCTCTCACCTTATATTATCAGCACCTATCTCATTGTCTTTAGTTTCCAATCAAACATTGAGACCGGGAGTGAAGCAGCAACAAAGACAGATTGTGGGATGACCTCGACAAAATTTCAAATCAGTCAAAAGTCACAAATAGCGCATCAAAAGGTTGAGTTTTAAAATGCAATTAATTGTTAAGTTTCTAGCTATTAAAAACCCATGTGAAAGGAATCAGGTTTTTTTTTGAGATGCAAAATGGGGTCCACCTATAATTCTTTACCTCACAAACGGTTAAGCCATATACACAGAACTGGTTTACCATTATTAGACGTTTCTTTTAGGACAACGCAATTTGTCTTTCTCAAGAGTGCACTGTCACCTTTAATTATATAAAAAAAGAGGTTTCCTTTGGTTAGCATACTGAATGAAGAAGACAATTAATCACAAGTAACTGTCGGTGATTTGTTCCAATTCTCAGGGCCATTTGGGAAAGTGAAATGAATAGTCGAACCATGGACACTCCTTACCTTCTTTCATTGTCTGCGGTTATTACACTCAGACTGTAATTAGCTATCCAATATCACAACAAGTCACAGCAATTTTTTTTTTTTCATTTTGCATACTCGGCTCAGTGTATCATTCAAAACAACAGGCGATGTATGTCCCGTTTCAATAACAATGAAATAGTAATCTTCACCTGCAGCACGCATTCACTTTGACCTTACCCTTACATTTGGCCATCAGAGTTTATTATGTGCAATGAAATGCTAGGCTGTTACACATTTTTGACACCTATAAAAACCCCAAATTGTCCCCCAAGTTGAGGACATTTTTCTATATTTAATTGGCACTCTGTGGCTGAATAGCGGGGTCATCAGTATAACAATGCCTAATACAGTGGAGTAGATAGAACCATAAATATCCTACTGAAGCCTTGATGTATAGAGTACATGTAACAATCAGTAGCCCTGTCCACACTAAAAATGAACACTTCTCAATCTGACCATTGTCAGCCCAATACTATGAGGTTGTTCATATTGCTAGCTTTCTACTCTTTAGTGTTAAAGACATCATAATTTTACAAATCGTAAGCTCATTTATGCTAATTAGGCATTTTTCAAAATAAAATTTCAGTCAGCATTTTTATGTGTTAATGTGTTATTGTCATTTCACCATTTAAGTAATTGTTGTTACTCGGTCTGCTATTCTCAAGTTGCTGTGATAAAAGACGATAGTGTTGCATAGATTGTTTTTCTTTGTGTACTGTTCAAATGATAACATGTATTATGAATATTGTGATGTTTACTATACCACATCAGCAGTGATATTTCACTCTAAACTGTGATTTGATAATGGCTCCATGGCCGTGTGATAAAGAATAAACTAAAATTGATTCATTTTGCTTGAACCACAGAGAGTAAAATGCGTTCTTGTGTGAACTTGCCTTTCATATTTGAGTGTGAGAAATGGACACGTGTAGCAAGACTGTGAATAATAAAATGATGCTTGGTTTGAGTCAGTGCCCCCTGACAGTAATGATGATAAATCGGCAAGTGAATGTCAAACAGCACTGAAAGAACTTGAGACATCGAGCCATTGTGAGCTTGTGATTGGTCAGCCATTGCATATGTACTTTGGTGAGGAAGGGAGAGGCATACATGGCCAGTCAGCCATACATGCCTTCTAGCGATTCTTTTATATACAATTCATCATTAGGCAATGCCTGTGTTTTTATGGTTTTTTTTTAGAAAGGTGATTTGATAGTTAGTATATTAATCAAAGCTTAGATATAATTCGTTCAGTTTAAAAATCAAATTCTCAAGATTGTGATGTGTGGCATCTGGTGGTAATAACATTTTTTTGAATTTTCTTTAAATCAAAGGTTATTGTTCAAAATGAAAGAGAGATAGTAGTTGTAATACACTTTTCCTATAAGTTGTAGACCCCTTGTGACTAAGCACTTTTAGGTCTTTGTAAATTAGTCAACTTCTGTTTGTTCACATTAGTGCAACAGAAAAGCTATTCATATGAGGTTGGTTGTACTCTTTGAGATCAAATTTTAATTTAAAAGAGGCTGTATTTCAGTAGTCGGCACAGTGACGTAAAAATGACGTAAATGAGCAAGAGAAATGTATCGTATCATGACTGTGTATGCCGAGTTGTCGTTTAGTAAATGTCTGAAAATGTTGTTATTGCACTAGAAGTTCCGACGTATTGGCCATAATGCTTTTAATGATTTGTGATATCTGTTCTGATTTTTATTCCTCAAATTTTGTGGCACTTCTTCTGATTAGTCGCATCTGTATGGACGACTCATATGGGCAAGTAGTTACTGATTTCCTGTTCTATGATAAAACTCCTAATTAAACCTTACTCCATAAATGAATTGTGTCGTCCCATATGGTCATTTTGATTCATTCAGTTTGGAGGATACTTCAACTGTTGGCTGTTCACTCATAAATATAACAATGACTTTGTGGGATAATAAAATAAGTGTCAGGATCTACCATTAAATGATGGGGAGTGAAGCGTGATAAAATGATGAAAAAAATGTGTACGTCAACAAACCAAAACTATAATAAAAAACAAAACAAACCTCAAATATTTAGAAAGCCATGAGAATGATTGATAATGTGAAAAATCCCCCTAATACTTCCAACTACTTCCCCCTTGCTCCTTTTGATGACATTTCTAGAAAATGAAATTATAAGCCTCCATCCCTTGCGAAAAGAATTGGTGCTTGCCTGCCAAATACTTAGTATTGCACAGTTTATAGATGATCACTTAGATTTGTGGTGGCTTTGCGTGAGATACTTCACTCATTGTGCACACTTTACCCAGTGATTAGGCTTGGAGTAGTATTATATTGGAGTTGGCCAATTTATCATGATGGTGTGGAATGAAATAATGTGGTACTTGAAAACATCGTCTGATACAATGGTGGATTTCCCAGGGTTGTGATGCTCTATTCTATCCAGCAGTCATAATATAATTGGTCAGAAAATAATGTTAAACTTGATCAAAGTGATAGAGATAATGCCAGTCAGTCATACCATCACAACACACACACATACACAAATTACTAGATATTATACGAACTACTAAATACATTTTATTTTAGACTATAAGCACAATCAGGCTGTAGCGAGGGACAAAGGATGTTTTTAAAGATCACCGCCAGTTAAGAAAACACTGGGAAACTAAAGCCAAATTGTGACTATTTAAAAAAGAAGGAAAGAATTGATAATGGAAGCCGACATATGCTGCCTAGGGCACGTAATTACACTAATGGGATTAAAATGCACTGTCAATGAAACATTTTTGTAGCCAGTTGCAGATGTCATAGCCGTCTAGCTACCCAACACCTCAAGTCGCGTAATAAAGTACATCAAATAATGCCCACGCTAAGAGCCTCGAATCCCACTCCATTGAAGTACGTAAAATGACACTTTAGCAGCTTCAATTAATGTGCGTGCAACACATGTTGGAAAGCGTTGACATCTGAAATGGACACTTAAGGGGAAATATTCTAATCTGCGTGTGCTTGGGATGAATTATACTTCTGGCTCATAAAAGTCTCCTCGTTTTTTGAAGACTGTTAAGTCTCTAAGATCACCTCGCATAGTGTATCTGTGTTAATTCGCCCGAAACGTTTCAAGAGCATAATACTTCAATGAAATGTCTGGTCAGAGATTTAGTATTGTCTGTGGATTTTATTTTCTGTATTTTCATATCAACCACGAAGCATGATAATCACGTTGGAGAACATAAGAATTAGGCAGTTTGGTGAACTGGAAAACCTAAAGGCTATTGAGGAGGCTGGACAATAGCTGGCACAGTGCTTCCGTTAAAAGCTCTATATGACATACACAGTGAGGGCAGGTGATAAGGTTTTAAATTAGCCTGCTTTAGTGCAAGTAACTTGAGACTTGTGCTGTAGTACATGTATCTCTTGTGACAGTTTATTAAAACCATCTTCCTATTAGATTCTCCCCCTTCTATCTCTCTTGAATACATAGTCTCAAGTTCTAAGGCGTGCACTGCTGATTCACATGATGGGATTAATATGCTTTATGATGTATGGGTAACAGCGATGATGAATTTATATTTTTCCCCTCCTTCTCTGGAATTGTTTCTTTGAGAAATCTACAGTTTTTTTAGTGAGAGAATTCAAAATTTCTTCTGATATCCTATTTTTTCTAAGATATGTTGATATAATTCACATACTAATTTAAATATTCTGGAGTTTCATTTCTGATAGCATTTTAAGAAATGATATGTTTATTTCAGCAAGCGTATTTCTCATTAAGAAAATAATTTAATCTCGATAATCACAGTCTGGGGCTGGAGGGCTATACTATAACAGATGTACTGTATTGTTTTCAAGTACTAATAGTTATTTTATGTTAGATTGTAAAATTAAAATGAAAATTTAATTAAAATTTTCAGATTATCATTAAGGTTTTTTATTTAGAATTAGTGAAAATATAAACATGATGAAATGGTTTTACAGTTGCTGATATGGCGGACTTTACTATTATTTGTTTAAAAACTCAAATGGGAATTGTAATTCCCTCCCCAAAACAAGATAACTAGCAAAAGAAATGAATGACATGAGAGGAAATTACACTAGATGTATTTGTAATTTTACTCTTATTTGCTTGTAGATAATACGACAGCAGTTTCCACAGCTGACCACCAGAAGACTTGGAACAAGAGGGCAATCCAAGTAAGTTCATTTCACACTTATTACTATTAAATCATCTGGTAGCTCTCGAAAATGTCCAGTTTTGCTAAAATATTCAGTTTTGTCTATCAGTTAATTGTAATTTGCTAAGGTAATTGAAATACAATAGAGAATAAAATAAATCGCCAGCAAATCCATGAATTATAATTTTTGTGATTTAAAAATGGTTGAAAAATAAATTAATAATACTTGATAGCTGCCCATCTGCAACATATAATTACTGATAATAGTTTGAAAGAAACTGTGGTTGCACATACATATAATAATAATGTGTATTCGTACATACTGTGTAACTGTGTCATATCTCAAATACACTAGATTCAGAAGATATTTTTCCAAATTTAGAAACCAGAATGCGTTAAACCTGAAAATAGAACCAAAATTAAATTTCTAGACTAAAAAATTAAATTTTTGTCATTATTAACCAAATTTCCTCACATCATTTCCAATTTATTCTGGCATACTCTGTGACCATATTTTTTCCATTACAGCAGCATGTGAGGAAGATTAAATCACGGGTCCCACCATTAGATTCACTATAACTTGTAATAGTTTTAACAAAAGGAGAATTACAACCGCTAATGGATGTGCAACCATGTGCTCATCTTGTAGTAACCTTATTCATAAGCTGGAAGTAAATATTCGGTGGATAAATTTTTGAGCCGCTGAGATACAGATAAAATGATTTACAACAAAATTATTAATGCCAGTAAAGTATACAAAATCTGTGCAATATACAAAAATAGAATATATTTACTTTTTTCCGGGTGTCTCCATTTTTGGGACTTTTATTCTGGAGATCTCGTCTGTGCATCATTTTATTGGTCACTAACAGATTTTAATTTTGGGTAATAGAAAAATCATGTCCATTTTGTCCAAAAATAATCAACAAATTACCTAAAAATACATAAAAATTTACAAAATGTTGAAACCAAATTTTGGCGGGAAAAATTATTAGAATTTGTTAACCTAAAAAATTCTTGATTTTGGTATAGTGGAAAATCAAGTGTCGTCAAATGTCAACTTTATATTTGGAACCCAAAAACATTTTTTTTTTCTGTACCAAATATCAATATATATATTTAAATGCGTTTGAGCGACTTTTATTCTGGAGATCTTGTCTTTGCATAATTTTTTTGGTCACTAATAGATTTTAATCCTGGGTAATAGAAAAATCATGTCCATTTTGTCCAAAATTAACCAACAAATTACCTAAAAATACATAAAAATGTTAAAATATATTTTGTTCTGTACCAAATACATGTATCAATATATATATTTAAATGTGTTTGAGCCATTTGTGTCTGTGTCTCTTACTTTATTGTTTCATAATCACTCTCGCTGTGTGAGCAGATTGGGTAACCTTTATACACTGTATTAGCTTGATTACAATACTTCACTTTCAGGAACTAGACCCCCCTGGTATCAAATCTACATGCTATCCATTCCCTATGCTTATATAAAACCTGTCCTTTGGGCTTCCTGACTAACGATCCACCATAGGGGTTGATCTCTCTCATTAACTCTGTGTCATTTGTAACTGTAGCATACGTACAATGATGGCTCTTAACAATAGTCCACAAAGCAACAACATAAAAATAATTACGGAAGCTGTGTTATATATTTGCATAAGTAGGCTTTGATATTGAATGATTTGTTGATAATGATAATTATTGTAATTAATGATGCTTTTCAAATACATTTTTTAACTTTCATTTCAACAAAATTACTTATTTCCGTCTGACCGAAATAGAAGTGTATTTTGTTGGCTATTGTTTGAAAAATAAATAAAAGTATAAAAATAAAAGTACTGACAATCAAGTTGGTATGACTATCTGACTTTTCCGGTTGATGTTCATTCCAACTGTATTCATCGTTTGTTTTTTTTTGTAGCTGTTCGAAATAAGTTATATTCTAAATGAGAATGAGTATTTTCTCTACTGTGACTTGTGAAGTTATGTACCATAGAATACTTTATTTCAGCTGGAATTAATTTTCACTGAAAATACATTTTGGCTGTCATGTATGGAATTTATTTTCGCTGATATTTGATGAGTTGAATATAAAATATATATAAAAAAAAAAAAATATATTCCTAGATTGTATTTTCACTAATTCATCCATCCATTTCAAGTGAAAATAAAATATTTTTTTACAGTTTATTTCGGAAATAGTATCTTGTGTGATACAAGAACCACTGTTTTAAGTTTATGATTGTTATATTCTAGTGTGTGCATTCGGCATTTCAACCTAAAATACTCAAGTTATCCTTCTGTAAAATCAACAAGATATATGGTATATGCATGGAGGATAGAAAACCAAATATCCACCAACATTGTCCTTTTGTCACAGTAGAGGGCGCCCATTGTGTGCTTTGCCAAGTGTTGTTATTGACAAGCAAGACGATTGTATTCACTAATCCCAGGAGGTATTACCAGATCAAAAAATCAGTGAACCCTTTAAAATTTCCACTTTGAGATATTGTTAAGTTCTGCCTGACTTTTTTCAGGCCCTTTCTTCTGTGTTTATGAATCAAACCCAGATATTTTCACCTCTTTTGTCCAGACTTTCTTGATCAAAGGATCACAGACACACAGACAGACGCATACACAATTGAGGTAAATTCACAAAGTTAAGGCTAGATGTTAAACTGCTTCGAATATCACATTGAACAAAGCAAAGTGTAAAAATCAAATCAAATTTAACTTTAATCAAACTTTCACGCGATATAATACAGACAGGCATCATTACGACAGAATTAACAAATAATAACAATAAATCCTCTTGCTGTGAAAGGTTGTTCCTAAGTTTTTTTACATGATGAAACATGATCCCTTTTGTATGATCAATCCGTCCACCCATTCCATTCAGGTACAAATTGTTGAACAAAAACCCAACATGTAACAGCCTTGCGGTATTACCGGGTAATGCAGGCTTCTGTTTCCCCTCATCTAGTATCTGAGATATCGTATTACAAAATCATGAATGACAGTCACAAGAGAACAAAAAAAACATGATGTATTTCACCCGTAGGCTTGTTATAATCCACAATTACAAATATACTTATGATTGTTATTTTGTAGGTACCATTATTATGGGATCGCAGTCAAAGAAGCTTCACAGTACTTTGATGTTATGTACTCAAAGCAAGGAGTACAGGGGTAAGATTATTTAATATTAATTAATAATAAATGTATACTACATGAACATCTATGGGCCATATATTAAACAGGTTATGCAAAACAAAAATTTCAAATTGATTTTAGATTTGGCTGCAAATAGTTATTTCACTTTCGCTGCCAATAGTTAAGAGTAATTACAGCCCGCTAATTTTTATGTGAAAATCATCGTTTAAAAATAGCATCTGCTGAAAAGTAAGTTAAACCATTAAGAAAACATTGTTTAAGTCTTTCGATACAGAAGCATATTTCAG